GAAATTTCCCTGACTCATTACAGGTGCAACATTCCATGAGTTTCACACAGGACTCTGCCAGATGGTCACTCAATTTACATCTGCAATTTTCCATAGTAGTCCTTTCTTTTTAAGAAAAACCTTTGGCATCAAATGCAAAGAAAGTCTATAAATATTTCAAGGGTCTGATCCTACGTTGTAACAATTCCCACCCTTTTGTTTCTTTTAGTGAAAAATGTTGAAGTAATGACTGATTACTGACGCTGTGCCTGAATAGAATCTGTTTCCAAAAGTCAAAAATAGCGAATTACATTCTCCTTTCTGCATCCACAATGTGGTGAAATTAAGAGGTTAATCTTGACCTAAGCAGCCCAGTGGGAAATGCATGGGACTGGGTCAAATGTCAATTTAACAGAGAATACAGTCAAGGGATATCAAAAGACAAAGAAGAGTAAAAAGGGGAGGATTAAAATCGATGGGCTGTAAAATTAGTATCTGATCCCATTCTGTCCATTTTCTGTTCAAATTAAACACAAAGATTTATTTATTTTGGCTCATTCTTTGTCAGATTATTTTAAGTCATGGAACTCATCTCGTTCAAAACTCCATCACCCATCTAAAAGTCTGCAGGCTGGCCTTCATAGGATTTGAACACAAAGGTGAGAGCTTTGGAAGAGGTTATGTAAATTGGAACGTGCAAGACCAGCTGGACGAATATTGAAAATGTTATTGTTAGAATATGTGAGAATAGGTATCCATTGTGGACTCTCCAAGCTGAGAAAAGTGAGCAAAGGAGGAGAGATGAAGATAACTGAGAACAAATAAAGCAGTGAAGACTGTTAGCCTTTAAATTTGAGTATTTGTACTGAAGAAATCGAGGTAGTCTAATCACATTAAATTGGGCTGTGAAGATTTCTCTTGTGGAGGCTTAAAGTCCATAGTTAAACCCTTTAATTTGAAACAATTGAAGCAAACTCTTACTTAGCACTAACTGGATAATTTGTTGCATGATTATGTCCCCAGCATATGGTTTACCAGGCACAGTAGCTTGAAGGAAATTATTACAAATTCAAAGAGTAGGATCGTGGCATTTTCAGACCTGTCAATAACTTTGAGACTAATGGGGCACGTTCACATTGTGTCTTGAGGAAAAAGAAAGCTTACTCCTTCTCTTGTGAGGTGCCTCTTACTGAATCAAATGCTTGGTGCCTCAAATGGAGAATTATGCCTGAATTAGGAATAAAAAAGTTGCAAATGCAATGTATTAAGTTCAGGTTTCTAATTTTGCCGGATTACAAACAGTCATGTATTGGTCACATTAATTAAAATGATTAAAAGGTGCTGAATTCAAAGGGCAAAATTTTTTGATATTTTGAGAAGTTGAATTCAATTCAAACAGAAGTTATGCTAAACTGTATCAAACCTTGGTTAGGCCATATAAATGCAATGCACAACTGTGGCCACCATATTATAAAAATGATACAGAGTATTGGAGTGGATGCAAGAAGGACTTACACGTATGTTATCAGACATGTAATGTTATATCTTCAGGAAAAGACATATCTGGGGCTTTTTTTCTCTCAACAAGAGAAAACTGAGGGGTAACCAAATGAATGTCCTCGTGATTGTCAAAGCCTTGAAATAGCGTAGTGCAGAACAAGTGTTTCTGCCCTGGGAACAAACAAAGTTAGAAGTCACCTATATAAAATACCCATTAAGACATGAAATAGAGAAAGGAGGAGAAATATTTTTTCTCACAGAGGGTGGTGAGAATGGGAAACCAGCTACAATAGAGCATTGTTGAGGCAAATGGTGAAATTACATTTAAACTGAACTTAGACACGCTTGTGAGGGAAAAGGGAGAAGACTTGAATAGAGCATAAACTGGCTGGTTTCTTTGCTGATATGATTGAATTTTATGCAGGGTTTCATCAAAATGAACGTGGAAATATAGATCAGTAAAACTGACCATGTAGCTATCAGATTGTCACAGAAGTGGTTCACTAATGTCCTTTAGGGAATGAAAGTTACCATCTAGTCTATATGAGAGTTCAATCCTTCACACTAATATGGTTAACTTTTAACAGTCCTTTGTAGTGGCAGCAGTCAGTACGCAAAATCATTAGAGGATTAGCGAAGGAGATTAATGCTCCATGCTGTTGTTACAGCTTACCAGGCTGCTAACTGCAGGATAAATGGCATGGAGATGGCCTTTTAGGAGATAACAGTGTTGATTAAATAGGGGCCCGAGTATTGTTGCAGTTTGATTCTGGAGTCAAGTCAGACATCTGATAGATTTGTATGCTATAGTGTGCCTTACTTTACAGGTGTTATGTTTAGTTATGGCATGTCTTATGTTACCAGCTGGTTTAGTTACAATATGTCTTATGTTACTAACTGGTTTAGTTACAATATGTCTTATGTTACTGGCTGACAGTGTGTCTTGTGCCTACTTCCGCTTTCTGAGTGTACCAAATTATTTTTTTCTCCAGCAGAGATTGTCAGCTGACCATTACTGAGTTCTCTTTAATTTCTGTTACATTGTTGGGATGTAATTCTCAGAAAATGGCTGAACTCCTCAGGAGAAGGTGGGCACTACTAATTACACACTTTTATTTAACTGCCAATGAAATATTGTTTCTAGTGAGGGGGTGATGATTATTGAGGCTACTTCATTTTGTAGTACAGCAGTGCCATGGCAGCAGAATGGGTGGATCATTGTAGGCTGAACATAGCTTCTCCTGGGCTTGGCTGAACTGGTTCAGATGATGCTGGACTTGGCAGGGATATAGGTAAAGTTCTTAACATGTGGTGATACTGTAAACAAGCCAGTTAGACAGGCTGTTTCAATGATAGTGAAATGGGAGGATAGGATCGTGAACATAAATTCTATCGATAATGAGTTAGGCAGGATAGTCCAGGGGTGCTGCAGATAGCTGTAGTGTCCTTTAGATGTTCAAGCTCAAGTCAGGCAATCCAGCAGGGGGCATGGATTGAAAACAAGACCCTCCTGCTCTTTATGATCAAGACACCAGGGATGGATTTTCAAAGTGGCTTTGGGAACAAAAAGCCTGGATGAATTTCACTTCAGCTGTGTCGCAACAACTTTTCAATGCAAATGTCCTAATTAGCCAGGAGGTGAGTTCAGTGCCCAGTTAGTGATGCCGAATGCCTCCAGGAGGCGGAAGCTACACGTCTGACAACAGTCACAGTAGCAATGGCGGATAGCAGCCATCTTGGAGGCTGTTGCTCTCCTGCCAATCAAAGCAGGCATCTCATCAGCTCGCCAAAGGTCAAACAGGATGAAAAACAATCAAACAGGACAAGGTTTGGAGCTGCCCTTGTCGGAATGAGTTGGCCCCATTCATTTACATAAATATCAACAGTAAAGAAACTCACTTGACCCTCCCCAAAGAGAATCCATCTGCTGTTCAGGCTTACCTCAACATCACTAGAGGTTGTAGTGCCACAACGACAAGGACATGTCCCTTAACAAGGAGCCTAAGCAGCCATTAGTTGGCAAGAAACATGTACACCGCTCCGTCTCCCCTGCTAGACCCTTCAAAATTCAAAACTGAATCAGGAACAAAAACAGAAGTTGCTGGAAAAGCTCAGCAGGTCTGGCAGCATCTGTGGAGAGAAAATCAGAGTTAACGTTTTGGGTCTAGTGACCCTTCCTCAGAACATCCACAGTTCTTTTGATTTTAACCATCACAGAGAAATTGAGATCCTGAGATGACCTCTGGGGCCATGAGTTTTAACGCTGCCCAAAATAGGTCTCTGGCCTTTTAAAAAGCCAATACTGTAACTTCAATAAAAACCAAAAGAGCTGCGGATGCTTGTAAATCAGGAACAAAAACAAAGTTGCTGGAAAAGCTCAGCAGGTCTGGCAGCATCTGTGAAGGAGAAAACAGAGTTAACGTTTCGGGTCCGGTGACCCTTCCTCAGAACAGTAACTTCAACCTTGAGTCATGGAGATCCACCAAGTCTGAATTAACATCAAAGGTCACACAGCATCTCCAATACCTTCAGTTCCTTCTTACTCAATAAATGATGACCTTGCTTCGGTATCCTCAGAATTAAAAACTGTCAGAAAAAATAAATCACTTACAAAACCTGGAAAAAAAACAGCTCCACAAAGAAAACTTCCGAAGTATATGGTATCTGCCATATAAAAAAAGTGTAGGCATTTAACTAGAAACTTGTTTATTTAAATGATAAAAGAGCAAGGATTGAATTTCAGAAGTGATGTTCCACTCAGAACACATCTGGATAATATTGACCCTCAATCCCTTCCATTCTCACGCTATTGGGATTTCAGTTATTTCCATCCTGAAACATCTACAATCAAGGGAAAATGAATGCACTTCTCCCTATCCCAGTAAGAAAGTGGTAACTTGTACAAAAGACAAAGCAGCAGTGGCAGTTTAAAACATGGAAGCGTAATCTTAGCATTCAAGTTTTGTCATTTGGGGTAATGTCAGGGAGCAGTTCTTCACATACATCCCAAAGTGGATTGAAATCTGGAACTTTCTCCCTCAAAGAGCTTTTGAAGCAACAGGAAGTGATGAGAGGAGAGTGGGGAAGGTGCCACCTGAAATTTTCAAAACTAAGACCGGAAACGATTTGCTCCAGCTTATAGAATTGAAACAGATAAATGGAGTTAAGATTCAGGTCGACCATAGTCTAATTGAATTATGAAACAGGCCAGAGGGGCCAAATGGCTGACTTCTGTTCTTATTTTAACATTCCAATGACTAATAGCTCACAGTCCAGACATGATGATTACTGAGTTGCTTGAAACAGTCAACTAATTGTATGTAATATCCGTCTCTTACAGCTAGCAAAGAGCTATCCACTGGTCCATAATTTTCAACCTAGTTTAAAATTTTAAGGTACTATCTTCAGTAAATTCTCTCCCTTACCCTCATTCCCAAAGTCATATCAAAATAAAATTTACACAAAAACAACCTACAAATCTAACATGTGAAGAGAAACCCAAATATTAAATGGCTACTCACCATATTGGCAACGAGGTCCTTGGAATCCCTGTGGGCAGTGGCACAACAACGACATTCCTTCAATACACTTGCCACCATTAAAGCATACACCATAACTACAAATGGCTGTAAGGCAGAGAGAAAGAGGGAGAGAGAGAGAGAGAGAGAGATCTCCCATTAATCAAAAAAGGCAAATGTGAACAGCACCCACTTGGCATAAACTTGATGAAAACAGGCTGGTTTCTGTAAATTATCTTTTCTTTTATCATTGACCTGTAACAATTTCTCCATTTGGGTCACAAATTCATAGAATCCCTACAGTGTGGAAACAGGCCCTTCGGCCCAACAAGTCCACACCGACTCTCCGAGCATCCCACCCAGACACATTCCCCTATAACCCACCTAATCTACACATCCTTGAACACTATGGACAATTTAGCATGGCCAATTCACCTAGCCTGCACATCTTTGGACTGTGGGAGGAAACCGGAGCACCCAGAGGAAACCCACGCAGACACGGGGAGAATGTGCAAACTCCACACGGACAGTCGCTCGAGGAGGGATTGAACCAAGGCCCCTGGCGCTGTGAGGCAGCAGTGCTAACCAATGAGCCACTGTGCCGCCCCATTACCAACTTCAGTCTGCGATGCTGATTTCACCTGCCTCAGTTTGCTTCCCTATATTTCTAACCGACCTCAATATTTGAGCTTGCTGCTTCCCTACATTGCAAGCACGAAACCCGAGAGAACTCTGTCATCTCCTTTTACCTCCACTGTGAGTTCTACTGGCCTCCTTTCTTGTCCTATTCCTATTAACACCCTGTCTAGTTTTCCCCCTTTCAATACCTCTCTTAGTTCAGATTCGAAGCTGAAAATCGTTTGCCAGTACCTCAGTTGTACATATTGCAATGGCTTATTGTAAAAAACACAACTGCAAAATCAGACAAATTGCAGTTACCATTTCAGTTTTTTCATAAGACACTTACTTACTGAATAACTTGGGTGAAGGACGAAAATGCACTATGACCCTCAAGTGTAAAAGGTCTCAAGTGAGAAAGGTCAAGGCCCTACCAGAGCCAATGGCAAAAAACCCGTCATGCAACATGAGAGTGAAGGTTCAACTCCACATGTTCAAGACATTGTCAAGGTTGCAAAGAATAGAAGAAGATGAACTAAAATTACAGAGCAGCTCCTTACGGAAAGTTGAGACATCCCTAAGAGAAGAGGGGGTTAGAGGGCTTTATTAATTAGTAATTAGCCCAGTGGTGGCTAAACTTAATTCTTCTGAAATTTGCTTAATTACCAGAAGGAAATGGGAAGAGTTTCCTAGAGTTTTTCTTCAAATTGGTCACTTTTTTTAACCTTTATTTCGACTTCCTGAGAAGTTTGCGTTGGCAAGAGTTGTGAAAGGCAGTGCAGGAGGTAAGAATATCTTGTAAGGAACTTTTTTAAAATTACTAACTTTGTTTTGCAATAACAACAATCTATATTTATATAGCATTTTTAACATAATAGAACATCCCAAAGTGCTTCATGGGAGCATTATCGAGCAAAATACGAGATTTATGTTCAGTTAAGAGGATTCCAGTCAGATAATCTTTTATCTAATAAGAAAACGCAATCAAACTGTTAGCTCAGCCTTGTTAAAACACAATTTATGGAGTTATTTTTGTTAAAAAAAAAAGCAGTGCAGCTACTTGAATGAGGTAATACATTGAAACATATGGTGGATTCTCACAACGCCAGAGTGAAAGAGAGGTACAGAGAGAGTTGTGTTCTAATGGGTTCTTCAGAATTTGACAAGTCTTGGGCCAGCTGATCCCACTGAGTTCAAAACGTATGATGCAGTGAATTCTCTGGCAATTCATTCTACCTTATATTCAGGATATGAGAAATTACTATTAATAATAGTTGACATTATATATGTGTATTTATTGATAGTAATAGAATTCCTGTGAAAGCCAGTAAATACCTTTGGATCCTATTATCTAATGGAATAACAAACTCATCAGTAACAGCATACATTCCCTAACAATCGTAGAGATAATGTTAACATGGAGACAGCTGGCAGTTCTTCATAAATCTGTTCTCACATACCAGTTGAGTACACTGAGTTTAATGTTCAAAAGCCAACAGACTAAAATGTAAAATGGAAGAATTGAAGGTGATAGTTCAGAAGTCTCAAGTCCGTGAGGAAGCATACATTTGACTGGTGGCAATAACAGGGTGAATTTTGATTTTAACACAGCAAGAATTTAGTGGAGAAAGATTCTACACTGATGGAAATGTTGGTAAGGAGAGGGCACAGATTTGGTGGGATGGGAGATGTGATTATCTTTTATACATCAAGTTGGTGGTGCAGTGATTGTAACGAGATCAGCCAGGTGGACCTCATAGAAAACAAGTTCTCTGACTAGGGCTGTTAATCTGTTCCCATTAGGGAGCCCTGGCTGACAGATATAAACAGGAGCAGGCGCACGCTTTAGAAGGGAAAAATGTGCGTTCTAGGCACCCTACATGGACTACAGCAATTCCATGATTCTGCAAGGCCTGCACGGTACCATTAGCCTTACAGGCAAAAGTAGAGGCAGAAATCAGGAGTCTGGAAAGCATAGGAATCATCAAACCAGTATAGTTTATGGAATGGGCAGCACTGGTCGTACCAATTGTGAAGCCTGATGGGTTGGTTCACTTTTGTGGGCATTTTAAACAAATGGTAAACTGCTTCTCACAGCTGGATAAATACCCAATCCCTCACATAGAGGACTTATACAGAAAGCTGGCGTGGGGTTTGTCCTTCACGAAGTTGGCACATACCTGCAATTGTGGTTAAATAAGGATTCCCAAAAATATGCTACAACTATTACCCATAAGGGTTTGTATAGACAGCCTGTGCCATTTTCCAGGGGACGACGGAGAATATTTTACAAGGTCTACCCCAGGTCTGGATTATCTGGATGATGAACTAATAACAGAGAAGACCAAAAAAGAGTACTTACAGAACTTGGATATAGTCTTTAGATGTTTCTCCAAGGCAGGCGCATGCTTTAGAAGGGAAAAATGTGTGTTCCAGGCACCCTACATGGGCTACGGAGTCGACAAAACCAGGTTAAACCCATTGGAATATAAAGTGAGGGCAATCAAAGGTGCCCAGCTCCCACGTCTGTACTAGAGCTTAAGTTTTTACTTGGATTGGTGAATTATTACAGAAATGTCGTATGTAACCTGGACCCCACCCCGGGACCCTTACATCTGCTACCGAGAAAAGGTCAGCCTTGGAAACGGTCTCATAGCCTAGACACAGAGAGCCTTTATGGAAGTGAAGAGGAAGCTATCATTGTCTAAGGTGCTGGCACACAATGATCCCAAGTGAGATCTGGTGCTGACATGCATTGTCTACCCGTACGGTATTGGGGTAGTGTTGGCTCACAGATGGTCCAGTGGAAAGGAAGACCCGATAACATATGATTCCTGGACTTTGGCTGATATAGAGCGCAAATAGAGGAGGAAGCTTTGCTGTGAGTAAGTTCCATCAATACCTTTATGGACATAAATTTGTATTAGTAACAAACCACAAACCCCTGCTAGGGCTACTCAAAGAGGACAGGTTGTACTGCCCAGAGCTTCAGACTGAATTCAGCGATGGGCTCTCATTTTAAGGCACACAATTACAAGTTGGAACATCGTCCAGGAGGCCGAGTAGCAAACGCAGATGCATTGAGCCACCGGGGATGCCGCCACTGGAAGATTCTGTTCTGGTTTTAAACTGTCTAGATGGACTTCCAGTCATCGCTGACAATATCAGACTGTGGATGCAAAAAAGATCTGGTCCAGGCAAAACTAAAACAGCTGGCAGTGATGAGGGAAATAAAAGGGCCATGACAACCAGAGCTGAAACCTTTCTGGACCCAGTGAGGCCACGCCACGGTAGAGGATGGCATTTTATTATGGGGAGCAAGAGTGATTGTCCTGATCAAAGGTATTGACTGAATTCCACCAGGGACTTCCAGAGGTGTTCAAAATTAAGATGTTGGCGAGAAGTTATATCTGGTGGGCAGGATTATATGTAGACATACCCACATTTGTGGGGCAGTGCCCTGTGTGCCAACAAGGACAAAACCACCAGCTCCCCTACATTTGTGGGAATGGCCTGGTTAACCCTGGACTCAGTTACAGGTTGACTATGCAGGTCCTTTCATGAGCTCAATGTTCTCAGTCATTGTGGACACCCTCTCAAAGTGGTCGGACATGAATAGAGTTCATTTGTCAAACGCAAGGACGGTGATAGAAAAGCTGTGAGCATCTTTTGCAATACAGGGGCTCCCAGAAGTATTGGTCACAGACAAAGGGCCATCAGGGAATTTACCAGCAGGGAATTCAGTATTTCCTAAAGTCGAATGGTATTCGGCATATAAGGACAGCTCCATACCATCCATTGTCCAATGGTTTGGCAGAAAGAGCAGTCCAAACTTTGAAGGCAGGCTTCAACAAACAGCCTACAGCTTCACTTTTTACCAAACTATTCCAGTTCCTATTTGATTATTAACCACCCTTCATGCAACTACAGGGACAGCTCCAGCAGAGTTGCAAATAGGGAGAAGACTCCGCACCAGGTTAAATCTGATCTTCCCAGACTGGGGGTGGAGAAGGGTGAAAAGGAATCAGGAACACCAATACCGGATACAAAACTCCTCTCAGCGAGAGAGCCAGTTTACTTCATGGGACAAAGTTTGGTGTAGGAACCACGGGAATGGCCCTGCATGGGTAAGAGACATGGTCGAGGTGAGGTCAGGTCCCATAATGTACAAAGTTCAGGTAGGAGAGGCAGTCCTGATACGAGAGGCGGTCCTGAATAAGCACATGGACCGCATGAAAGCTGTAAACTCACAAATGGGGCAGGAGCAAAACGTAGCTGGCACCTCAGAACAGCCACAAAGGCTGTCGGAATCCGTGGGTTCTCCCACTCCGTTTAGCGTCGAAGAAACCTCAGAGTCTGAGATGGACACAGCGCTTTCATCGCCTGAAGGAGAGGATGAATTTCTTCCAAGATGCTGCAGGTGCAAGAGTTGGCCTATGGTCTGGTACACACTGCCCTTATCTGAGGCTGAGGCTGAGTCAGAGGAACTG